AATAATTCCATAATATCAACTGTTGAGTCAATATTCCAATTTCCCTAATTGTCCCAAGAATGTCTTTTATAGCTGTTTTTCCCCTGACCCTAGGGTCCAGTCATGGTCCCATGGGTTGCATTTGGTTGGGTCTTCAATTTCTAACCTCCAACCCCCATGACATGGACTTTTTGAAGAGTTCAAAGAGCTTGAAGAATACTTTGCAAAATCTCCCATATTCTGGATTTGTCTGATTGGTTCTTTGTGCTATAATTTAATTTGTTCCTTTTTTCTCATTTCTTTGAAATGGAAGTTAGGTTTACAGATTTGATTAAATTCAAATAAAACATCTAGCAAGAATATTTCATAGGCAATATTGCCTACTTTATACATTAGGAGGTACATAATTTTTATTTTTTTCACTATTAGTGATCTTAAATTAATTCAGTTTGGGTAATGACTACCAGATTTCACCATTTAAAGGCACATTTTCTTCTTTGCTCTAAGTAACTAATTTTGACACCTTATATCTTATTTATTAATCTTTCACCTGCTGGTTTCAATCCCCATTAATGATCCTTGTCTGAATGACTTATTGCATTGGGGGTTATAAAATGGTGATTTTTAAAATTTGACCTTTCCTTCCAAGTAATTAGGTAGGATTCTTCTGTAAAGAAGGGCTTTACTTTTTTTCCCCTTTCATGCTTTTCTATCTTTTTGAAGTATCACCATGAACTGGTAAATATGTATCTATTAAATTTGCTGTAGAGTCACTCCTTCCAATGCTTATATTGTCCCAAATTTGACTAATGAGAGTCTCCTTCAGGGTTGCTTCTATGCCATTTGACAAGCCCCCATCTATTTCTCTTTACATACTTTTTTCCAATGTAGCATAGCAACATGTTTCAAGCTTACTTTGTACTTTCCATACCCCAAAATGGGAATTAGCCATTTTTTCCAAGGAGCCGTGGTTCCAGAAAAGGAGAATTGTGCTTTTTAATGGTTTTTGGTTTTGGTTTTTAGTTTAATGATGCTCCCTTTTTTTCTTGCCATATAGACGTTCCTTCACTGAGTTCTGTATTAAATCAGAATTACTAAGTACCAGATCTTAGTATCCCAAATATGCAAGGCAAGGGTGGGATGGGGTAAAAGAGTGGTCTTTGCTATGCCAGAGGAAATCTTCCAGCTTAAGGCAAACACGTCCTACTTTGGCAGCCTACTAGTAATATATCCCGTCTCCGGTCCCCCCCCCCCCCCGCCTTGAATTTTCTCTTTTTCTTTCTCCCTATGTCCCTATTCATTCTACTTTGACCTTCACTTGTATTTACCTATAGAATGCATTTTGGAGTTAAGGGTTTAAGGTTTGCAAAATGATCATTTCCAGCAGCCATTTCGGCTAATTAATTTGATGTTTAGGTTTTGATATGATCTTGCTTAATATTAATTTATAATTGTTTATCTTATGAAGATTTCTTTCTTTGATGAGGTTGTGATGACTGCTGTTTCTTTCAGTTCTTGAACGGTGGTTTTCCAGATTACCTGTATGTTATATCCTTTTTTTTTTTAATTTTATTTATTTATTTGTCAGAGAGAGAGAGTGCACAAGCTGTGGGAGCTGCAGGTGGAGGGAGAGGCAGAGGGAGAACCAGACTCCCCAGTGAGCAAGGAGCCTGATGCGGGACTCCATCCCAGACCCTGGGATCATGACCTGAGCCGAAGGCAGATCCCTAGCCAACTGAGCCACCCAGGGTGTCCCTGTATGTTTGATTCTTGTCAGTCATGGTTTGGTGTGCACCTTCCCTTAGATTGAATTTTCTACATCTGTTGCATTCTTTTCTGTCATTTGGCCAGGATTGAGTTAAATATGTCTTTTTTCTCACTGTACTCCCACCTCCAAATCAGTGAAGAAAGGATTTTACCCACATTTTCTTTATGTAAATCTCTCTCTCCAGAGGGGGGGTAAAGTCTCATTGTGTTAGGGAGGAGGGAAAATTACTGTATTATCTGGACATATATTTTGGATTTTCCAGGAAAAGGGGGGCGTTTCAAAATCTGGTGAATCAAGACAAATACAAAAAACTGATTAAGGATAGGACTGCGTGTTTTTATTATTCTGCCGCATAGCATGTGTTTAAATGAATTTGCCTGTAATTTGTCTTCAAATGCTGACATTTAACTCTTAGGCTGTATAATTGTGCTGGCTTTTTCCAGAGTAAAATTCTTATTCTGCATGAAGGTAACATGTTCATCTACTGTAAACATTACTTCCTATGGTAACAGCCAGACTAAAAAATTCTTTTTATGTACATGATAGCTGGCAGGAACTCTTGGGACCATCACACATCATTCTCGTCTTCTGAAGCTTACTGACAAAAAGCATGCAATGGAAAACCAGCCTGGTCTGACATAGATTGACTTTGAAATCATATTAGCTTATTTAGAACACTGTTCCTTCTCTTGTTATTGTTTTTAAGATATTGAGTATTCAACAAGCTCTTCTAATTAATGTATTCTTTAAACTTAGTAACCTATCCTTTTATTAGAACCACTCCTCTTCTACAAGCCATCTCTGGCTCCTTTTTTTGTTAAAGGTTAATAATGAGAATAATGAAGCAATTGGATATTTATGCAGTCATGATTGGCAAAAGTTATTAGAACAGGAACCTGCCCAGAGGCGATGATTAGGTTATGAAAATGTTAAGGAATACTGAAACCAGTCACCATTTTTGACATTTACGAAATACTATTCCCACCCTTAATCGTGATGACCTATTGTAAAAGTATTTATACAGACTAATTTCATTGGACAGTGATTTTTATACCAACAGCATACATAATTAAGTGTGAGGGGGGAGATTTGGAAATGATCTGAGAGAAAAATGGGCCTGGGGAGGAAATTACCACAATGAGAAGAAACAGAACTCTCTCTTGGTTGGAACTGTCTCTCACACACCTGATCTACACAGTTAGGTGACCTTTCCAATTAGCATCTTCATCTTGAGCACTTTGCAAGTTTGAGGAGCTGTAGAAGAGGGTACCCCTAGTTGGGTTCCTGTGTTCTTCACATTAGACTATGAAAAATTTAGAGAGGTATATGGGCAGAAAATTTCCTGATGATGGTTTTATTTATGAAACATTGACTTAATTGACATTATAGAAAAACAAAACAAGACAAAAATCTAATTATAATCCCTTTATGTTTAATATGGTTAGAACTTTCTTTGTAAATTAGGCAGTAATTATTTTTACCACACCAGTATTATCACTTCTACTCTGCATTTTTTTGGTAGCAGTTTTACTGAGATATAACACACAATAAAATTTACCCTTTTGAAGTGTGCAGTTCAGTCTATGGCCATACCACCCTGAATGTGCCCAATCTGGTCTGAAGTCTACAATTTAGTGGTTTTGAGAGTATTCCCAAAGCTGTGCAAACACAACTATCTAATTCCAGAATATGTTCATTACCTATCCCCCAGAACCAGTACCCTATGCAGTTGTTCCCTATTCCCCCTCCCCCAGCCCTAGTGCTAGCAAACACTAATATACCTTCTATCTATATGGATTTGCCTATTCTGGATATTTTTTTTCCTTCAGCTTTTCTCATGTAATATATACTTCAGAAAATTGGAGAAGAGGACAGAAAGTGAACTTGGATGAATAAAACTTATTTGTGATCCTGTATACTTAGAATTGAGTATTCTTTCCCCTAGTTGATTGGAATAGGTATTTAAAACAATAACAACAACAACAAAAAAACCCAACATCTTTATATAAATAAAATCATACAATATATGGCCTTTTGTGTCTGTCTTCATTAGCATAATGTATTCAAAATTCATCCATATTGTAGCATGTAGCAATACTTTGTTTCCTTTTATGGCTGAAGAGTATTCTGTTGTATAGATATACTGCATTTAGTTTATCCATTTATCACTTGGTAACATTTGAGTTGTTTTCACTTTTTCACTATTACGAAGAATACTATGCTGAATATTCATTTACAGGTTTTTGTATGGACATATATTTTTTATTCTCTTGTGCTTATACCTAAATGTGCAATTGCTGAGTCATATGTAACTCAATGCCTAACTTTTGAGGGCACTGCTAAATTATTTTCCGAAGCAGCAGTGCCATGTTACATTCCCATTAACTATATAGGAGGGTTGTAATTTTTCCACATCCTTGTCAAAGCTTTTTATTGTCAGTCTTTTTGATGATAGCCATCCTAGTAGATGCAAAGTGGTATCTCGTATTATGGTCTTGATTTGCATTTTCCTAATGTTTAATGATATTGGGCATATTTTCTTGTGCTGCTTGGACATATGTATATTTTCTTTTGGGAAATGTCTATTCAAGTTCATTGCCCATTTTTAATTAGGTTAAATAGTTCCTTATTGTTGAATCATACAAGGTCCTTATATATTCTGAATACCAGTCCCTTATCATCTATATGATTTGCAAATATTTTCTCTCATTCCGGAGGTTGTTTTTCAATTTCTTAAGTGTCCTTTGAAGCAAAAGTCATTTTTTTTGTTTTATTTTTTAAATTTAGAAGTCCAATTTATGTGTTTATTCTTTGGCTTCTGTGCTTTCAGGTGACCATTGCCTAATCCCAGGTTATGAAGATTTACTTTTATGAGTTTTACAGTTTTAGCTCTTGTATTTAGGTCACTGATCCATTTTCAGTTAGTTTTTGTATATAGTGTGAGATAGGAGTCTCTCATGAAGAATGAGAACTTCATTCTTTTGCCTATTTGTTTTTATTCATTCAAATGTAAAGATTTGAGAGAGAACTTTCTCTTCAAATGAGATGACCATTGCTATTCTCTTTGTGAATTACTGTTTTCATGATTTTTGGGGGGGGGGATGGATATATGTACTGTGTTCATCTATGTGCACTCTCACCAAATATGGTTGCACTTTTGTCTCACTTTTGTTTATTGGAATCTGAAAAGCAGCATTGATAGATACAGTTTGAATCAGTTTATTTGTTTTTTTCCCTTAATTTACAATCTCACCTCTTCAGCTACAGTATAGAGAATGCCAAGAACTTCTAAGTCTCTATCAGAAATATCTATCAGAACAGCAAGAGAAGCTCACCATGTCTCTCTCAGAACTTGGTGCTGCTAGAATGCAGGAACAACAGGTAAGCATCTTTATTCTTACCTTTTCTTGACGTTAATGGATCAGCAAGATGTCTGAAGAATCATTTGCCTTTACTGTGAGTCACAGAATATAACATTGTCTTAAAGCATGTTAAGTATAGCATGTGATTGAGGTAGTGTCATTTACTTCTTTTTTTTTTTCATCTCCTATTCCTGGGGCACAGAGGTCAGGAATGATTACTTGAAGCAGGCTCTGGGTCAGTGGGAAAGCTCCTAGTTGTAAGAAAGCACAGCAGGAATGGTAAAGAAAACTCACTGCTCTGTTGCTTAATGAAGAAGATCAGGTGGGCTGTTTGTTACTCATTGTCCTTGTGGAAAACATTAATGAGCCTTTCCTAACTCACGTTTACATTTTTAGAATAATAAAAGTGACTTGGTGACTTATAAAATCTTTAACTGAAGAAAATTGGAGTATTTTGCATTATTTTATGTTTGTATGTATATGTTAATCACATAAGTATGTATGAGAGTCTTTGTATATAACATTTATATACATATCATTAAATGGTATATATTGTATAATTAAATGAAGGTTCAGAACCCTGCCAATTGTGATGTGAAACAAGCTCTAAAAACTTACTTCTTGCCCTCTAGCAAGTGATACTTGGTATTTTTTCATATCCCAATGAGTTTAAATATTCAAATGGATGAGAACAGTAAGTGTTATATACTAAAACATTGTAGAAAAAACTGTGGAGTAGGGTCCAAGCCATTCATATTAAATACTAAAGCCTGGCTAATGTGCTAATGTGTTATCTTCCCCTTTTGAATAATATCAGGTCCTGTGAATGATTTTTTGCAACCCTTCTAAAGAATATCATTGCTGTTCAGCCCAGAGACCACTATCTCAGATAGGTTAAGAGTTTGGACCAAGAAAACTTCAGTTTTGAACTTAAAGTTTAGACTCATGATAGGGTTAAGATAATAAATAATAATTTTGCTGGAATGTTGTGTAGCTCAGACTTATACCCTTGTTTTGAAGTCACAACATTTATAAGAAATGGCCTTGCCTGGCGGCTCAGTCAGTAGAGCATGCGACTTTTGATCTTGAGGTGGTGAGTTCAGGCAAGCCCCATGTTGGGCATAGAAATTACTAAGAAAAATAAACTAAAAAAAATGGCCAAAGTATGAATGATTTATTTGTATTCTAACTTGAAATAGTTTCTTTTGTTCTGTTTTCTGAAAAACCTAGGCTATAAAATGACAGAGGATGGTGGCAGCTCATCTTGATGGTTTGGCTGGATTTTCCCTGCCACTTTGAAAGCAGGGCAGGCAGTTTGGAAGGTGGTCCTTGTCTCTTGTTCTCGGGTGGGTTAGAGAAAATTGTACCATAAAGATCAGGTTTCTGACCTTTGCTTTTGTATTTCCACTCCTTCTGTCTATATGACAAAGGTGTGTTGGGGGCACAAAAATGAAGGGCAACCTATTTGGCAAGGGTATTGGAGGGGAGGCAGAGGGTTTTTCAATTGCCAGTGTAGAGCCTTTGGACCTTAAATATATAGACTGAGTCAAGAAATAGTCACTAGAGGGCTCTGGAGGCATCTAGGGGACTCTAAAGACTTCTAGATAAGGAGGCCTCTCTCTTTTCTTTTTTTATCTACTTCTGAAATTGGGGGAAAATAAAACCTTCTCGGGTATTAATGTTTTGTTTAAGTTAGTGATTCTTGGTGGTTTCACTAGAGACCCCTCATAATTAACACTGACTCTCTAACCTTAACTTTGAGGAACAAAACTAAAAAAAATCACTAATAGTAGAATGAAGATGTTGGCCAAGTACATAGAGAGAGAACCCTCAAAAGCAAAAAAAGAGATACTTTTGAATTTTCATTTTGACTTAGTCATGAGAAAATTTTAAAACCATGTTTTCAGTAAGTCCCTGGTAGTCAAGTCATTATGTCTTATGTGCAATGAAAATGAAATTGAAGCTACTTACAGGCTCTGCCATTTGAGTTTAGAGAGGGAAAATAAGTTTCTTTTTGAATGCCAACTGGAGATTGTCATCTTGCTTCCTATGTTATCTGTTTTGTTCTTTGTGACAGGCTTCTTTTACCTGAACATTCCCTCTCATGGGAACTGGGTAAATTTGGTCAACAAGTTGGTTTTATGTCAGGAAGGGCATCACTGTAATAACTCTGATCCTGAATGAGGATGTCAGGTAAACAGTAAATTTTATTTGTTCTCAAAATAAGGTGTTTTTTAAATTTAACTAATATCCAGATTTTATGATGGAGATGGCAGCAGTTCATTTTTCATGAGGCATTTATTTGACTTTAAGAGACTTTTTCTGTTTCTTCTTTGCATTGGTGGCATCTGGCTCAAACTGCATATTATAAATTTTGCTTGTAGTTTAATTAAATCCACAGTTCACCAGAAGAATGCCTTACCGTATGATTTTCTTCTTTGACTTCTGCCATTTCCTTGAAACTACTCCATTTACTCCATTTACTCCTTTTTTTCTTTGTTTCTCCCTCATCCTCTTTCTTGCTATGCCTCAAAGGTGACTTTTCTCATTGATTCAGCCTGGATTCATTGTGGATTCTAGAAATGTTTTTCACGTGTTCTATTTAGATTAAAATATTTCATTGATGTGTGTCTGCCACTTCATTTCCTGATCTTAAGAAATAGTTCTTACCCATAGTATAACTGTGGTCTTGGATGTGGGAGGATCTAGTAACCACAGTTTTGGCCAATGTACATTTTAGAGTATAGCTTTTCTTATCACAGTTGAGTGTTATTTCTCTTTTGTGAATCTGAACTTTCATGTCACCTCAAACTATGATGCTTATAACTTCTACTTTAGTCTTATTGGATAGCTCTACCATTTTAGAAATGTTACAGTATTTCTGAAGTATTCTTTATATTAAGAGAAAGCCTAGGTAGCATTTTGAGTAGCTTCTCCCACTGTCACTTAAAAATGTTGGTATGTAGGCCTACCTTATTGTTTTTCTTACCTCTTCATTTTTTTGTCAAGATGATATAAAAAAAAAGATTTGGAATCTTTTTGAGATTTCCCCTTTTCTATAAATTGGACAAAATGATTATTACTTTTCAGCCATGGGCAGTAGATATTAATGAATCTCTGCTGTTCTGATCTGGTAAAAGGCCTTTTATAGAAACTTTTCCATCTTGTTCATAATTACTTGTTCCATGTTTCTTAATTTGGGTCTGGGTCGTGGATTGAACAGAATTTGAAATATACTAAAGATAAATCATTGCTGAGTATATGTTTAATATTTCTTGGTGGTTTCTACTACCATTGTTTCTATAGTTTTGTCAAAAGAGTTTTCGTTGGGGCACCTGGGTGGCTCAGTCGTTAAGCATCTGCCTTCAGCTCAGGTCATGATCCCAGGGTCCTGGGATCGAGCCCCACATCAGGTTCCCTGCTCGGCGGGAAGCCTGCTTCTCCCTCTCCCACTCCCCCTGCTTGTGTTCCCTCTCTCGCTGTGTCTCTCTCTGTCAAATAAATAAATAAAATCTTTAAAAAAAAAAAAAGTTTTTGTTGTGCTTAGGGCCATAGTGCCTTAGGACTACTTCCTGTTCTGAGATTACTTTCATGTATTTTTTTGGTTAAATTTTTGTTGTTGTTGTTTAACTGCCATATGTAGTCATGTGGTAATTGAGTTCCTTACCATTTTAATTCTAATTTTATGCATTTTAATATGTATTTAATGTGTAATATTTATTTTAATTCCATCTAGTACTAAGCTACCTTTGAGTTTGAGTTTGTTATAAGAAGCCCAGATTTTATTGGCAGTCCAGAAGGTTCACCATACTTCTGACAAACCAAATCAAAGAAAAAGTCATGCTCTTTGGATATCTATGATAGAATGTCTGGCTCAAATGTACTAAGCTCCTCACAGAATAAAAGATCTATAGATATAACAAGAATACAAGTAACAACTGACTTCTCATCAGAAACAATGGAGGAACTAGACAGTAGGATGGCATTCATAGTCAAAGAGCTAAAGGGGGGGAAAAAAACCCAACAATCTAGCAATCAAGGAAAGCTATTCTTCAAAAGTAAAGATCACATAAAGACATTCCTAAATAAAAAAAGACTGAGAGAGTTGGTTGCTAGCTTACCTGCCTTACAATACAAATAGAAGTTTGTTCATAGGAAAAGAAATGACTTAAGACAGTAATTCAAATTCACTGAGAAATAGAGCACTGGTAAAAGTAATTATGTATCCCTCTTTTCTTGAATAACTTAAAAGATACCTGAATAAAACAATAATTATAAAACTATATTGTTGGGCGCCTGGGTGGCTCAGTTGGTTAAGCGACTGCCTTCAGCTCAGGTCATGATCCTGGAGTCCCGGGATCGAATCCCACATTGGGCTTCCTGCTCAGCAGGGAGTCTGCTTCTCCCTCTGACCCTCTTCCCTCTCATGCTATCTCTCATTCTCTCTCTCTCTGAAATAAATAAATAAAATCTTTAAAAAAAATAAAACTATATTGTTGAGCTTATAAGATATAAAGATGGCATGTGTATTTGCACAAAGGGAGGAAAATGGAAGAGAGCTATATTGGAGAAAGTTTTCTGTTACTGGGATAAAACTCTTTATTCATAAACAATGTGATCTTGTATTTAGAAAATCTTTTTTTTTTAAGATTGTGTTTATTTATTAGAGAGAGTGAGAGAGAGCATGAGAGGGGAGGGGGTCAGAGGGAGAAACCGACTACCTGCTGAGCAGGGAGCCTGATGTGGGGCTCAGTCCCGGGACTCCGGGATCATGACCTGAGCTGAAGGCAGTCGCTTAGCCACTGAGCCACCCAGGTGCCCTGTATGTAGAAAATCTTAAGGAATCAAAAAAAAAAAAAAAACCTGATAGAGCTAATAAATGAGTTCAGCAAGGTTGCAGGATACAAGATCAATAGGCAAAAATCAATCTTATTTCTGTTTACTACCAGTGAACAACTTAAAAACGGATATATTTAATAAAAGCAGTGTAGGACTTACACACTAAAAACAAGCAAAACA